ATAGGGAAGAGTTTAGTCCAGATTTTTTGCAACCTGATGTACTAGAACGTTGAGTCCTCCGGAAAAATAGAGTAAAGCAGGGCATGATGAAGGATCAAACCTTTTAAAGATCCCACTAAGCCCCCTTATATCAATCCAACTCCTTAGTAATTTGAAACTAAATATTACCCACCTCCTTTTATATACTCTTCCTTCAACTATCAAACCAAAGTGCTATAGCTCACTGAAAGCTTACTTGGTAGCAATTGAGTTATTTTTTGGAAATCGCCTGAGTAGCCAAAATCAACTCTGAAGGAAAGTAAAGCCAGTCAACTATTAGAAAGTGCCACTCAACTTCTTGAAGAAAGCAAGAGGTAGCTTCTGATCTTTATTTTGAAAAGCCAAGCCACATCTGACCAAAGATACATTTATTTTCAAATTAGCAAGATAAGGTTAAAAAAGTTAGTTTCAGGTAATACTGCTAAACTAATTAAAACTTATGTAAGAGCTGATTAGCAAGCTACAGAAATACCTACCTAGCCAGTTCCACACTATCTATAGAAACATGTTAAAAGATTGATTCACATAGTTTAGTCTCATTCCAGATCATATCAAATTAATGCCTTTCACATAGAACTCCATGAGCTCAAGCCCTACACCTTCTTAAAAAAAGACTGTACTGGCTATTATACCTTATTAGATTCTTCCACTAGTTTATTTCTGCAAGCCTTTACTAATAAAACATCCTTCTATTTCTGTAATTCTCAATACAAATTTGGAAGAAACATAACAATCCTGTAAAAATCAGTGCAGAATGCAAAAGTTGAGTCAGACCAATGCTTCATCAAGCCCAGTACTGTCCTCTCAATGGTGGCAAAAGGAGGAGATATTTAGAGAAAGCATGCAAGCCTGGTTACTTCCTGCAGTTTCAGCCTTTAGGACTCCCCAGGCAGCCATCACTGGAGCATCCTGGCCTATTCCCTTTTCCTACTCAAAATGCGTCCATTTCAAGCACGCAAATGACAAAGAGCTAGCAGCAAGGCCAATACTGTTGTGGTACTGATAAGCAACTACAGTACACTGAGAGCAGTATTAAGTGTAACTGGATATTGAAGACTCATCTGATCTTGCTTCATCAGTTTTCTGTGAAAAAAACTTTCAATTTTCACCCTCATCTAAGAAACATGATTAGGTCAGATTTTTCTTTACCACATTTGGCTTGGTCTTTAGCTAAACTAGATCCCTCAAGCTGAAACTCAGCATGTGAAGTACACTACAGGAGTTGCTTCCATATTCAAGTTTCCTCTACCCCACAATCCATTCTTGACTCTTAAGGCATGGGCAAAAGCCATACTACAGAGCTAGATCATGTTTCCAAGTTAAAGATTAAATACATGTTTTCTACCTGTGAGTTCAAGACTGCATAAGTGTAGCTAAAATATTCAGACATAATTATTTACTTTTAACCATAAGCACCTGAGAAGCAGACCATAAAGTACATCAGCATTCCACACCAATAACAAAAGAAAAAACAGAATCTTACTTGACCACAGCAGTCAGATACTGAAATGCCTTCCTCACTAAGCATTAAGAGGCAAGTCATATCTGATCCAAGGAGTGGTCCCACTTCCCCCTCTCCACCATCCACCCGCCATATTAAAACTCTTCTTCGCACCAG